AAATAGGAAGTAAAGGGCTAAAGGTGTAAGGAAAGTGGGAAGGGTGGGGGAGAGGTAATAAGGGAGAGGAAAAAAATATGAGAAACTGAAAAAATGGAAATAAAATGTTTGTAAGTGGGGAGGCGGGGTGAAGGGAGGGCAGGGACAAGGGGAAAAATGAGAATCAAGACCTATTATGTAAAGGTACAGAATCCCAATGATGAATGTAATTGTATTGTATACCTAGATTGTACCAATAACCTCAATAAAAAGAAAAAAATAATAAAAATAAAAAAAATAAAAGAACGCAAGCTTTACTGTTAAACTTACCTGGGCTGGAATCTACCCATTCTGCTACCGCTTGTATGAACTTGGGCAAATCATTTCATGGAGGGTGATTCTTCATAGTCTGTTGAATGGAGATGAAAATACCTGTCTCAGAGTTTTTAGGAAGATCAGATGACCTAATTTAATGTAAAGTGTCTAATACAATCAATACCATGAACTGAGGAGTCTGTCAGTATTCTGCGCCAATGTCCCTACTCCCAATGTATAGTTATATAATACTTATTCAATAACTGATATTTCTGTTTCCTCTTTTAAATTGGTATTTTAACATAGTGGAGAACTGAACTGGTGGACAATTGAATTTCACTCTACTCCTGCTGTTTCCTGGCTGTGTTTGTTCATCTCTTCTTTCATTCAGCAAATACAAGCATCCACTGTGTTCCAGGCACACTTAGCCATTGGGGACATAGCAGTGGAAGAATGAGATGGGAGATAGGGATAGCGTGCTAGCCTAGCATGTGGAAAATAGTGATAGAAACTCATCATGGGATTAGTGAGGGGACTGACTGAGCTAGGTGTCCTGGTATAGTTAGAAATGCCTAGCTGTTTAACAGCTAGCTAGTTTTTCATCCACACCCCCACCGTCTTCCATGAAGCTTTCATAAATTAATTCAGTGGTTCTGGTCATTCATTATTCAGTATCCAGTCTGCTTCTATTCAGCAAATGTTTCTTGAACTTCATAATGTATAATGTGCTAGTTGCTTTTGCTGTAGGGAATGCAAAGGTCCTACTCCTGTGATGCTTATGGTCTAACTTGTAGGACTGATACAAATATACACTGCTAAAACAAGGCTGAACATAAGAGAAAGTTACACATGAAAAATTACACATGAAATTTAAAAGAAGATGCTGTTGTGTCCAACTGGGGTGATCAAGATTCATGGTAGAAGTTATATTTGAGAGGACCTCAAAAGGATGGGTAGGATTTGAAATTCCAGGTGATCATAAGTGTTATCAGTGATTGAGCATTTGCTGTATGCCAGTCATTGTGCTAAATATCCTCTGCATATTTTCTATACTTCACAGCAATCATTTCAGTTAGGTAGCTTTTACTTGTTTTTTTTACTTACAATGAAGAAATGAGATACAGATAGGTTTAACTTCCTTAGAATCTGCATCCAGTTAATGGCCAGGTGAGAACTTTCAACCTAGGTCTGACTGAAACTTGGACTATTTCCACTTATATTTCATAGCCTCTCATGGACAAAGGCACAGAGATTGGAAAGTGTCAATGTGTGTACAGAATTAACACATAGATCACTTTGGGAATTATTAGGAGGCAAGCCTTAAAATAAGGCAGGCCTACTGAATCAGGGAGGCAGGATGGAACTGTGGTTAGGAATGTGTACTCTGAGATCAGATTGCCTAGGTTTAATTCTAAGCACTGACATTTGGTGATATTGGGATATTGGGGAAAAATTACTTAATTCTCTGTGTCTGTTTTCCCATCTAAGTTTTACAGCTATAGCAATACTTAGTTATTGGGTTGTTAGTGGATTAAATGAATGAACACTTACTAAAGCCCCTGGTACACAGTTATCAGACTATAAGTATTCTCATATTCTCTCCCTCTCTCCCTGTCTCCCTTTCCCTCTTGAAAGGTTCTCTCTATTTTGCCCAGGCTGGTCGTTAACTTATGATACTCTTCCTCAGCCTCCCAAGTAGCTAATAGGATTAGAGTTTTGGGCCACTATGCCCAGCTAGCCTCTTTTGAGCTCAACTATTGAGATTAAGTGCAATAATGCTGATAATTCCAGTATCTGGGTCCTGTCACAAACCTGGTTTTATTGATTGCTTTGAGTGTGTGTGTGTGTGTGTGTGTGTGTGTGTAGGTAGGTACTTTTTTATTGGACATTGTATGTTATGTATAGAACAAGAGACTGCCAGAAGTGATCTCACTTGCTAAGTTGTCATTGGGAATTTAATCAGGAGTTGAGTTTTATGTGGGTTTTGTCTTTGCTGAGGGTACCTTCAAAGCATTATCGGTTTCAAATTCTCTACTGCACCTTGGGCTTAGGGTGGGTGCTTGTTTGTTTATAGTGTTTTTCTGAATGTTCTGTCATTCATTACCTGCTTTTGGCCTTGGGTCTCATAGTGGTTCTCTTGATGCTCCTAGACCAATGATGGTGAACATTTTAGAGCTTTCAGTGATACAAAAAGCCCTGTGTGGCCCTGTGTGGCACGCGTGCCATTGGTTTTCCATCACCGCCCCTCCCCTAACAGTAGACTGCTGTTGCTTGTTACTCCTTGTTTGGTAGCTTGATGGTAGGGATGGGTAGGGGTGATTCCTTGTTTTCGTGATCTTGCCTTTTCCTTAGGATTGCTGTGTGTCTCTGTTTCCTACATGGTACTTCTTCAGTGATCCCTTTTCTCCCCGAGCTGAAGGAAACTAATGGTCTGGGCCCAGAATGGTATCCTGTCACTCCCTGGAGAGTAGAGATAGTTTTCTTTTCCTGTTTCCCAGGCATAATGAATTTTTCTTTGCCTGTGCTCTGGAAGAAAGAGATTTGTTGTCATTCCCCAAGCAGCTTTAGGGCTATTTTCCTATCTGAGAGAAAGGGCTGGCTGGAGTTCTGTGCTTTTTTCCAAGGGCAGCTGCTTCCTTCCCCTCCATCTGCAGCATTGTCCTCCATCTACTCTTTCTTGGGAGCACCCATTGGGAGTCTGCAGAACATCCTATAAGTGGCTGTGAGCACCCTTTTGGCTGTTACTTTTAAGGGTTCTTTAATTTCATACTACACAAATTTATGTAAAATTTTAGCTGAGTTCTTCATCTGTGTAGTACTCAGTGTTGTCTTCTCATGAAAAATTATAGTCAAGCTGATGTGGATGTCCTGTCTCTGCTTGGAAGCACTTGTCTTTCCTTATAGTTCACAGCCAGGCTGCTTGGTTGCCCTACCACCTCAGCTCTCTGATAGCTTCAAGGAAAATTGTTATTAAGTAGTTTATCTAGTCTTTTCTCATTGTTCTGGTGAGGAAATGTACTTTTCAGGTTGCTGTATCTAGTTGGAAGTCAAATTACGGTGTTAGAAGTTACTTAAAGTAGTTCTCTGTGTCATTGTGTATTTATTTCACTATACTGTAGGTTTATTTGTTTAATATTTCTGTTTCAGGGATTGCTTCATTTAAATTTCAATGTTATTTCATGATTTATCCAAACTATTTAAATGATTTCAAATCATATACAGAGAACAATGTATATTCAGAAATGTTATGAGCATCGCTGAGAAGTTATTTTCATAAGCTTTTGGAAAAACCTCATTCTTTCTAAAATTTTACTGTATTATCTTGTGTTTCATTCATCTGCAGCAGTTGCCCACTAAAAATTGTGCCCACTGGGCGAAAAACTGTATGAGAAAAGATTGCATCTGTTTTCTTTTTCTTTTTCTTTTTTTTTTGGTGTTTTTTTTTTTTTTTATATTAGCTATTATTATTATGATAATTACAAATACTCGGACATATATTTGAGTCAAATTTTATTTATAAGATAATAATGCACTTTTCCTCAGTTAATATTATGTATCTGTGTTGTACCCATGTTGATGTACTCAGAGTGAATTAATTTTTTTGTTTTTGAGACAGGGTCTCTCTATATAGTTGAGACTGACCTGGAACTCACTTTGTAGCCCAGGCTGGTCTCGAACTCACAGCGATCCTCCTGCCTCAGCCTCCCGAGTGCTGGGATTACAGGTGTGCGCCACCACGCCCAGCTGCTTCTGTTTTCTTAGAATTTGTAAATTCTAGAGTTTTGGTCTTGATAATCAAATTTAGCAGATGAACATAAGAGTTTAAGATTCACATTCTTTATTCACTTTTAAATTTGTATCTGATCTGTGGTTGTGACATAGTCTGGTAAAAAGAATATAAACCAAGGTACTTACATTTGTTTCCATTTACATGTCATGTAATACTCTTTTTTATCCAGCAGAGGCCACTAAAGCCACCTAAGGACCCTAAGTGCAGTAGAAATGCAACCTTTCTAACGTGAATGCTAAATCACATTGAGCTACTTTAACTACTTTACCTACTTTAACTACTGTGCAAAACCCTACAAAAATATATGGTCCCTACTTTAGGAAATGATGTCTTTGAGGAATGCTCCAATGTATTATAGATTTAATTTTTTCCCTCTATCACTTCTCAGTTTGCAGGCCTTTCAGATATATCTATCTCACAAGACATCCCAATAGAAGGAGAAATCACCATTCCTATGAGATCTCGCAGTCGAGAATTTGACAGCTCCACATTAAACGAATCTGTTCAGAATACTATCGTAAGTTAGACTAGTATGAGAGAACTTCTTTTTAGCATCACAGGATTGAATAACTGCAATACTTTTGTTTGATTCATCATGATTTTTGCTATATTTTATTGTTGGAGTTTAAGATTCTCTCCTAGAAAATAATCTGACACAATCTTTGAAGAACAGTTTGGCTATAATGAATACTATGAATCTTAAAATGTCCAAAATTTTTAAATGATTTTACTTCTCAGTAGCATAATGAAAAATTAAAAGTTAAAACTACTTTTAACAGAATAATTGAATATACAAAGGTGTTCATTATAGCATTCTCTCTAATAGAAGAAAGTTGGAAACAACTTATATTGGTTAAGCTGAATATGTTATGTACACCTGAAGGAATACCAAACCATTAAAAATTAAGATCTAGGACAGAATCATCTTCACTGTATTTTGAGTAGCTGTATTTGTATTACTGAACCCTTCCTTAAATGTCTTGAGTTTATCAAATTGTGAATGTTGGAATGTTACAAAGAATGGTAGCCAGGGAGCAGGCTAATTGGATCCTTGGGACCTTCTCATGCATGAGCTGAATGTCACATTTTGTGTTTTGAGGAGCAATTTTTCATAATGATATTATTTTAATGATATTATTTTACTTAAGTATCATATTGGGAGGGCTGTTTTTCTTTACAGAGTTTTCAAAATCAAAATAGAACTGGTAGTTGTGGAAAATGTTGGATGTTGACTTAAGGAATTAACAGAAAAACCATACTCTCACCTCTTTGGTTTATTTGTATAGTGAAAGGGTTGAAATTGCATTAGCCCCAAAATTCAATAAAGAGTTAGCTCCTAGGAAATTGGAAAAAAATTAGCAAATAAGTGAAGGGGTTACTTGGCAACCATGGTCATTGCAATATTACAAGTTATTTGTGTCTTTCAGATGCGCGATCTAAAAGCTGTTGGGAAAAAATTCATGCATGTTTTATATCCAAGAAAAAGTAACACTCTTTTGAGAGATTGTAAGTATATGAAATTTCTGCGGGTTTGTTTTATCTCATTGTACCTTATCAATAGTATTTTATAAGGCAAAGGCTCTGTGGTATAAAACTGACATTTTTCAGGATGAAAATATGTATGTGTAAATGAAAATTTTGGAAGAAATTCAGAATGTAATTTAGGGGTTAGATTTTTGCTTATTGTATTATCTTTATCAACAAATAAACACTGTTTACCCTCACCTGGAAAATGCTCTAGCAGATGTTGCCAAAAAATATTGCCAGAAGCAGTTAACATATGGGGACTTTGTTCAGCCAACAACTAATAATCTCCAAGGCAAAAGCAAATGTTTAAATGTTAAATTAGAATAATAGCAAATACCCTTTAATGACAAACAAATTATTAGTACCTTCACTGACATTTCTACTTTCAAGACTATCATTAGTGTGATGACTGCTTTCTTTGTTAAAGTTCTATCAAAACCACAATAATTTATTATAATTTTTTCTTAAAATTATTAGGTTTCTCATTTTTCTTTTCAAGCAGTCAATTTTATTTTTATTTTTTTCTTTTTTTTTTTTTTTTTTTTGGTACCAGGGATCAAACTCGGGACCTTGTGCTTGCAAAGCAGACGGCAGCACCACTGAACTAAATCCCCGGCCCTTTCATATTATTCTTTATCAGAAAAATCAGGTCGTTAGAGAATAGTAACAATGATGTCATACATGAGTGTTCTATTTCAGCAGCATTTCAGCTCTAAAACAGGGATGTCAAGTAAGTGGCAGCATCCAAATTTTTCTGCACTGTGAGTTGGAGCTGACACATGATTTAAGACTGATTTATTATCACTGTATTAGAAAGGTGTATTAGAAAGAGCGTGGGCAAATCTAGGTTGGAATACTGGTTCCATGGCTAGGTCTGTGATCTTGAATAAGAATTGACTCTTCTGGGGCTCAAGGTTCTTCACCTGTTAAAGTGGAGATAATATGTATCTTGCAGATGTGGATTAGAGACGATAACATGTATAAATCAGCTAGTATGGTATCTGGCATAAATGGTAGCTGTTATTCTAGTGCCCCTCCCCACGTGTACACAGGTGCATGTGCGTGTTATCTTATTTAATCTTTGCTACCCATCTTGTGAGGTGAGGTGGGAGCTGTTGCTCCTTTTTTTTTGTACCAGGGATTGAACTCGGGACCTTGCCCCTGTAAGGCAGGGAGCAGAATCACTGAGCTAAGTCCCTGGCCCAATTGTTCCTCTTTTACAGATAAGAAAATGAGTTTCAGACAAACTCTCCAAGACTTGTCAAGATCTCACAGGCAGGATTAAAATGGTTTTCCAGCTCAATACCCTTTCTGCTTTATGACTGCTGTCCCAGATGTGAAGATATCCTTTCAGCTGCTGCTGTGGCTCAGTTCAAAGCATGTTGGCTCCAGTCACAGTGTAGAACCAATGTGCTAGTTTAATTAATGATATGCATTAGCTGATTAATGATGTGTATTAGCTGTTTCATATGTGAAGATCTACTCCCAAACCTTGTATGGAAAGAAGGGCTAACATAACGGCAAGTCATGACTGGAAATTTGCACTTTTGTGGTTTTGCTCTACTCTGTTAGCACAACCTATGGCAAAGTGGCAGGGGAAAAATTCATGACTTAAAAATAGTTTTTTTAAAAAAACCACGAGGGACCACTTCACACCTGTTAGGATAGTTATTATGAAGAAAACAGCTTGGGATGTAGCTCAGAGCTTGGGATGCCATACCTGCCTCACAAACAACAAGGTCTTGAGTTTGATCCCTAGTACCAGAAAAATACAACAAGAAAACAGAAAGTAGCAAGTGTGGGGAAGGAAGTGGAGGAATTGGAATCCTTTGCTTTGCTAATGAGAAAATGAAATGGTACAGTTGTGAAAAATAGTATGGCAGATCCTCAGAAAATTAAACATAGAATATGATCCAGTAATTCCATTTTTAGATACCAAAAAGAATTGAAAGCAGGGGTTTGAATGAATTATACTTTTGTTCATAGCAGCATTATTTATAGTTGCTAAAAGGTGGAAACTGATGAATAAACAAAAATGTGGTATTATGGTATGGTATAGTATAGTATACTATGTGGTATACATATGTGAATGGAATGTTCAGCATTTGCTAAGTGATAATAAAGCCAGACACAAAAGGACATATTAAAAAAAAAAGGACATATAAGATAGATACTGTTAGGTACTTAGGCTAGTCAGATTCATAGAGATTGAAAATAGAATGGTGGTAGCCAGGGGCTTTTGTGAGTGTAGGGATGGGGAGTTATTATTTAGTGAGTGTTATGATTTGTGTTTAGATAACCCCCCAAAGCCGCATGTGGTCATAGGCAGGACCTTTTCAGAGATGGCTGGATCTAGAGTATGTGATGCTAAAATTGATTCATGGTGCAGTGCTAGGCTCAAGGGCACTGAGATTAAAGATGTGAGTGGTCCCTGCCCCAAGAAGGCTGGATAAGATAAAAGGGGCAGAAAGATGCTGTCAGCGTCTCTTGTTGCTTTTGATACCTTGTGTTTCTCTTCTGCGATGCCTATCTCCCATCCACCCTGCCTTATAGACTAAAACCTCTACAAACTGTGAGCTAAATAAATCTTTCTTCCTTTAACTTTGGGTGTTGGGTATTTTGTCTCAGTGATGAAAAATGTAAAACTGAGTTTAAATTTTTGTTTTGTTTTGTTTTGATTTGTTTTGTTTTTTGGTACCGGGAATTGAACTCGAGTCCTTGCGTTTGCAAGGCAGGCAGAGGAACCACTTAGCTAAGTCCCCAGCCCTAGACTAAGTTAAATTTGGAAAGATGAAAATGTTCTAAAGAGGGATGGAGGTGGTGGTTGTACAACAGTATGCACTTAATGCCACTTGACTATATACTTAGAAATGGTTAAAGTGATACATTTTGTGTTATATATTTTTTAACAATAGAAGATAGCTAAAATAGTTATGGATTTTTATGAATTAAAAATCTTCATTGCATTAATTGTATTAATTGTATTAATTAATTGTATTAATGTCATTTTACTTGAATTCATTTCTTCAATTAATATTTCAAAATTTAATGAGACCAATAATAATTTTATTAGAGTGGTAGGGTTATGGTTTTTTACCTCTTTTCCAAACACTCCATGTTGGAGTCAAAATTACCTATATAACTGAGAAAAAAACCAAGTTTATCGCAGGAAAAGTTATGTACATGTGAGATTCAAATTAGAAGTGGATTGTACGCACTTTATTTTTCAGTACCAGGGACTGGACTCAGGACCTTGCACTTGCCAGGCAGGCGTGCCACGACTGAGCTACATCCTTGGCCCTTGGAATATATACACTTTTTTGGGTCAGTTGGGGAACATAATTTTGCTGTAATAGCTGTGTGTTGCTGAACTGTTTTTTTGTTGTTGTTGTTTGTTTTTGGTTTTTTTTTTGAGACAGGGTCTCACTTTGTAGTTGAGACTGACCTGGAATTCACTATGTAGCCCAGGCTGGTCTCGAACTCACTCACAGCGATCCTCTTGCTTCAACCTCCTGAGTACTGGGATTACAGGCATGTGCCACCATGCCAAGCTTTCATCTTTTTTTTTTTTCTTTTTTGGTACTGGGGATCGAACTCCTGTCCTTGCGATTGGGAGGCAGACTGCGGAACCACTGAGCTAAATCCCCCGCCCCTGAACTGTTGACGTACTAATCAGTCAGCAGCTATTGATTGAGGATCACTGTTTGCTAGATTTGATGTTGGCAGAGCCTTCTATAGTTTACAGAAAGGTTTCACATGTGATTTGTTAAAGTTTAACCTTGTGAAGTTACCAATACTGGGGACTATTTTTTCACCTAGAACACCCAATTCCTTTAGTTCATTATAGTAATAATTATAAAAAGGAAGCAGTCTGGAATAGTGGCAAGAATTTTGTACTAAGAGTCAGCAGACTCAGGTTCTGGTTCCATCTGTATCTGTAAACCTGGGCAAGTCACTTTCTTCTGAGTTCCATGTTTTGTATGTGTGAAATGAGCAAGGCGGTCTTTGCCTTGTCTGTCTAATACAGCCTCACGTTGATGAACTGACATGGCAGTAATCTTTTTTTCTGAGAATGTGGGGTAGGACACCTAGGTCTTCCAATTGCTGGTCCATTGGTCTTTAATTCCATGTTGGAATGTGGCCTAGTAGGTAGGGAGAGGGGTTTTTGAGGGGTATGAAGTGAACAAAATTTAAAGGATAAGTGAAAAACTGTATTCAGAATGAGAGAGCAAAGGGTAAGTAGGGGAATGGGAAAGGTGAGAAGACTTGAGCAAACAGAGCCTGGATGTCTGGAGTCTAAGAATGGGAGCTAGATATTAGAATAAAGACAGAAAATACTACATGTGTGTTTCTTAGTAATGTTTTTGTCTTTCCTTGCCTTGTAGGGGATTTGTGGGGTCCCTTGATACTTTGTGTGACTCTTGCATTGTGAGTATTTATATTAATTTTGTTTGTCATCTGAGCCAGACTAGACTTTTTGCGGGGTTTCAAAGTTGAGGGAAATTTTGATTAAGTATTTTATTGAGGATTTCTGCAGCTTACTGTACTCCTTATGTATTTAATGGAAAAAGTCAAGAAGCTTTCTAGATCAATTAAAAATGATGGAATTAAAGATGTGAAAAGGGGCCTGGGGATTTAGCTCAGTGGTTCCTCTGCCTGCCTCACAAGAGCAAGGACCTGAGTTTGATCCCTGGTACAAAAAAAAAGTGAAAAGTTTGGCCATTTTTGTTTACAATGATTTCTTAGTCTGTTTCATTCTGGGTTTTGTTTGTTTGTTTGTTTGTTTGTTTGTTTTGAGACAGGGTCTCATTATTCAGTTCAGACTGACCTTGAACTCACTACGTAACTGAGGCTGGCCAACTTTCAGCAGTCTTCCTCCTGCCTCAGCCTCCCAAATGCTGGGATTACAGGCTTGTGCCACCACAACCAGCTTCTTAATCTGTTTTAGCTATGTCTATTCAACAAATATTTATTTGCTGTCATGTACCTCTTTATTAAACCAAATGAAAGAAACAGCTATAGTTTTAAAAGCATTATTAATTCTCTTTAAATCTTATTAAAATATGAGAAGAAATCAGAATACAAATGGTAGAGTTAAAAGCTAGATCATGTTTCAAACTGTTATGCTTTCCCATATATGATGTGTACAAAGAGGGAGGACCGGAGAGGAAGGTTCCATTGAAGACGGGCGGGCATATAACCACTGATAGATGGGAAAAACACTGCACTAGGATGTAGTTCTGGATTGTTATCCTGGCTCTGCTATCAGCTATTTGTGTGATTTTGGGCTACTAATAACTGAAGTTTGTAAAATGATCTTTCCCTGTTTACAGAAATTTTTAAAATATTGTCTCTTGTCCTCATAACAAGGAATCAATATTATTTTCCCTTTTTGACAAAGAAGCTCAGGTTCAGAGAGGTTGTTTATTTAACCTAGACCGTGTAATCAGTGATGGACCTAGAATTCAACCTCAGCTTTCTGACTACCTATTCTCTCTGTCATTACATTTCTTCCCACTTAACTCTCTGGATCTTCTCTTCCATATCTGTAAAAGGAAGCTGCTTCATAGCCCTAATCCTTTATAATTCTAATCACAGTAAGTTCCTTATTGGCTCTTTAATTTTTTTTCATGGTGCTAGGGAGCAAACCAGGGCTTTGTTGATGCTAGTCAAGCACTCTACCAGTAAATTTTATCCCAAGCATCCTCAGCCCCTTCTGATTTCTTTCCCCCCATACTGGGCATCCAAACTTTTTGCCTGCCCATGGTAGGTAAGTGCTTCACTGAACTACATTCCCAGCTCTGAATTTTCAATTTAAATTGAGCATATGCTAATTTAGATCATAATGAAGTTTTCTTATTCCTTTAATAACTATATCAAGGGAATCAATTCAGTGCCTTGATGGATGGATTTATATTAGAAGCTCTTAACACCACTTAATTTGCAGAGAAAACCAGAGTCCCAAGACATGTAGTGACAGAACTAGGATCAGTGTCTGGGTCTTCTGCTTTTCAAACTATTTAATATTCTTTCCGTCATACCATGCTAAAGCAATAGAGATTCCAGACAATAAATAAGTGCCGGCATATTTTTTATATCTGATTGTCAGGACTTGGAATATGCACAGCTATAGAATTTTAAATTCTGTACATCCTGACAAGCAGCATAGCTGGCCAAGACTTCTTCATGCTATGTAATAAGAGGAAGTTATGGGTTTCCTATTATTTATCATTTTTCTGGAAAAAAAAAACCCAAATCCAAGTATTCTAAATCCAGAATTCAAACCTTTCTACATCTGTAAAAGTCTTAGGTAAAGGATATTTAAGTGACTGTTCGACTACTCATTTTCAAATCAGAGTCACTTAGTAATGATCTGTATGTTTTGATTTAAAAAAAAATAGCAACTGGGCACAGTGGTACATACCTGTAATTCCAGCATTCTGGGAGGCTGAGGCAAGCAGATTGCAAGTTCAAGCCCAACCTGGGTAACTTAGAAACTTACCAAGACCCTGTTTCAGAATTAAAAAAAAATACAAAACGGAGTAAGGATGTAGCTCAGTAAGAAGACCCTGGGTTTAATCCCTAGTACCCTCCCCCCACGGCAACTACATATATTTATAGGCCATTTCAATTTTTAAGTATCTGACCTAAAACTTTTAACTCAAGAATTACAAATCAGATGTGTCTAATAGAGAAGTAACCTATATATACGTTATCATGACCTTTGCTTCCGAGATTGCTGCACCTGATTGTTAACCGTGTTAGAATGTAGGTTTAGCATGAGAAAGTCATCCGGATTTTGAAGAAAATCTATAAATATGTATTCCCCCAAATCCCCGCCTTTTGTGGTACTAAGGATCAAACCCAGTCTCATGCATGTTAGGCGAGTGCTCTACCACTGTGGTACACCCCCAGCCTAGGAATTACATATGTGAAACCTCCCAATTTTAAAATCATATCAAATTAAAGTAAAAACCATTTTAAATATTGTATGAACCAAGAACGTTGTCTGTGAGCCATGTTTGGCCCTTCAGTTTATAACCTCTGAACTAAAAGGTCTTCAGTCATGTATTAAACATTCCAGCAAAGTCAAATGGAGCACCCTTATTCTCCTGAGGCATTCAGAATTTTATTTTATTTTATTTTTTTCTTTTTATTGAGTTTATTGGTACAATCTAGGTATATAATACAGTTACATTCATCATTGGGATCCTGTACCTTTACACATTCAGAATTTTAAGTAAGGGAGCCTTGCCAAACACTTTTGGCATTTTCCTTTCAGTGTGACCTACATATCATAGATGTTCAGCTGAGGTACAGCACAGCATTGTGGTTCAGAGTTTGAGAACCTATACCTTCAGTTTGTTGCGCTAAATAAAAGATTAGACAATCCTCATGCTGTTTACTTGTCTCAGAATGTTGCAGAGAGGATCTGTGGATAGTGAAAAAGATGGAGGGCCCCAATTTGCAGAAGTTTTTGTCATTGTCTGGTTTGGTGCAGTAACCATCACCCTCAACTCAAAACTTCTTGGAGGAAATATGTGAGTATTATTAAAATGTACCTTTTCTTTTTCTTTGTCAGGTAGCATATCTTATCTTTTAAGGAAGAAGGCTATTTAGATTTTTTAAAAAGAAAAAGTAATTGAGGAGCAAAGAAAAAGTTTTCTTTAAACCACTGAATAGAGATAAACTGGTTGAATTAAATTACTTCAAATTACTTGGAGGTCCTTTGATAAGTTTCAGTGTCCTCTCTAGCCCCTGAAATGAAAGGCAGATTTTTACATTTTGGGGAAACTGATAGTTTTGTAGCTAGAAATGATTAAGAACCACCATCTTAGGGATTCAGGGAAAGAAGAGGGTCTCTAGGTATTAAGGTAGATCATCTAGTATTAGCTGTTGAGGTCAGTCATCTGGTACTAAATATAGATCATCTGGTTTAAGAGGGGAGGAGGAAGAGTACGGGGAAGGAAGATGAAAGCATGAGTTTAAAACAGAGGACTAATCTAATAAAACTGATGTTCAGGTATTAGTACAATGCATCAGGAGGGAGACAACAGATGTATAGGAATCTATGTAATCAGCTGAGTCATGATACCATTCAGCCATGCTTATGATCTTTGTCAATGTATGCTGTTTTTAGATCTTTTTTCCAGAGCCTCTGTGTGCTGGGTTACTGTATACTTCCTTTGACAGTGGCAATGCTGATTTGCCGCCTGGTCCTTTTGGCAGAACAAGGACCAATAAACTTCATGGTTCGGCTTTTTGTTGTGGTTGTGATGTTTGCCTGGTCTATAGTTGGTAAGTATGTCCTTTCTCTGTAATAGCAGAACAGACCAAAGCATGAATTAAAGATGAAGAGCTGATTAGGAGCAAAGTCATGTGGGAGTGGTATAATTCCTGCCACTGTCATCCATAGAATCCCCTGCTCTAAGTAGACATCACTAGGGATGATGTCCATTGTATCTGAGTTGGGTATCTGGACATACAAGATGTGGAGAGTTCCTTATTTTTTTCCTCAAATAATAGACAGAGATGGGTAAGTAAATTACACCAGATTTAGCTCAGTCCTGATATATGTAGGACATAATGACTTGTGAAATGACTTGGACCTTTTTCTGATAAACTAAATCATTATAAAAATAATAGTATTTAAAGATTGTTTCTTTTGGCCAGGTATCACTGTAAATGATTTGTATATATTATCTTTTTAATCTCACAGCAACCCTAATAGACAAATACTATTATTAGTCCCATCATACATATGAGGGATAGTCACAGACAAGTTTAGCACCTTATCCTAGGACACATAACTAGTGGGTAGGAGAGTGAAGTTTCAAACCCAAACAGATCATGCACCCTTAGGAACTATACCATACCACATTCTGGTGTAGGCTGCAAGTGTCATTGTGTGCAGGATGAGTATCCCTTATCCCAAATGCCTAGGCCAGAGTGTTTAGATTTTTTTCCTCCTTTGGATTTATCATGAGATCTCTTGGGGATGGAGCCCAGGTCTAAACATAAAATTCATTTATATTTCATAGGCAACTTAAAAGAATTAAAAACATAGCCCTAAAGTAATTTTAGTGTGCCTGTGTTTTGATGATAACCTGTCACATGAGGTCAAGTGTGGAATTTTTTTCACTTGTGGCATGTTGGTGCTCAGAAAGTTTTAGATTTTGGAGCATTTTGGACTTTTGGATTAGGGACTTTAAAAAGTACTTGTAGTACTTTTCTGCTTGAATGGAAAATTTTGCTAAAGATGAGGAAGGACCTGTACAGTGGTGATGAATGCTGCATGCTCATTTTTTCATGTTCCTAAAATTCTCTTTAAATTTCAGCTTAAGCAAGAAGTGTTCACTAGCTTCTAATTTAATTTGGGGGGGTACTGGGGATCGAACTCAAGACCTTGTGCTTGTGAGGCAGGTGGTGGAACCACTGAGCTAAATCCCTGGCCCTATAACTGAACTTTTAGTATGATTCCCTTTGGGTCACAAATAGAACTGAACTTTTAGTGTAATTGTATATTCCAGATTATACCAAGCATACACACGTTAGTAGTTATGATAATATTCTTGTATTAAATATTCCTTTTTCTTTTGTTTAGCCTCTACAGCTTTTCTTGCTGATAGCCAGCCTCCAAATCGCAAAGCCCTTGCTGTGTATCCTGTTTTCCTATTCTACTTTGTCATCAGTTGGATGATTCTCACCTTTACTCCTCAGTAAATTGGAAAATGGTAATTTAAAATCAATGAACTGAAGGCTCATCGGAAAGACAATTCACCGTGGAGCTCTGACATTAGCCCTTTTGTCAATTTTTAGAGGTTATTAAAAGGGAGCCATATAGCACTGTTGTCACTTATATAAGGAACCGATGTTTGCAAGGCTGTCCTTTTCCTCTTAATGTTATTTCTCTCAAGTACATGTGCATACTATACACAGTATAATGCCTCCTAAAGGCATGATGAAGTCACTGGCCCATTCGGGTGACAGCTAATGACTCGGGAAGCACATGAATACATCCTACAAGTTGAATAGAGTTGGTAACTATTTTCACCTTTGAGAATATTAGTTCAGGTGCAGTTCTTAAACATATTGCCTTATGACTATTAGAATATGCCTCTTGTCATAAATAAGAATAGATAATCCAGATCCATTTTCTTTCTTTTAAGCTTAAAAAGGCAATGGTAGAGATTAGTGAGGGGGGTCATAGGCATAGGGGGAAAACATGCTAATCTTCATAGATTGATCAGAGGAAATTCTATACTTAATGCTTTAAAAAAACAAAATATCTAAAGAGTCAAGTCTCTTTGGGGTTTTTGTGTAGTCACTAATCTGTCATGCTTAACAACAAGCACTTGCAGTTAACTCTCTAGTTTTTAATTTGTTTTGCTTTGTTTTGAGAGAGGATCTTTCTGTGTAGTCTTGGATGGCCTCAAACTCAGTATGTAGCTCAGGCTGGCCTCAAAACTCCTGGTGATCCTCCTGTATCAGCCTCCTGGGTGCCTGGATTCTAGGAGTATGCCACCATAACTAGCTTTTAGTCTTTAATTTTGCTCCCTATTTCTGCATATGCAATCTAAGATGTCGGCGCTTGACATGCAATTCTCCTTTGATTCAAAATTTCAGTGGTCTAATGTTGGGACATAGTAGAAGACCTTAGACATTTAGATTGGTAAGACTCTAATGTGATTCCTTTTTCTTAAGGTACAGCAATACAGTGTACCTAGAAAGAATTCTTCATTATTTTGTATAGTCTGGCGTCTGACTAGGAAGTCAAGCTAAATCAGAAGTCTGCATTTAACCAAGTGAACATGAAGGGATTTAGTGTTTTGATGTCTGGTTAGCAGCAGATAATGCATGACATAAGAAGAGTTGAGTTTACAGCTGCTGCCTTTACAGAGTGGGCTTAGCAATTTTTTCAATAGATGTGTTTTTTGGGTTGGGAAATAGCTGTTTATTTTTTGGGTTTTAACTTTATTAGTAAATAAAGCTAATTAGCTCTCTTTTAGACAAATACATTTTGCACATGTGCACCTACTTGTACTCTGAAATATTTATGCACAAAGTATGAAGGCTTTTCAGGGAGCAGAGAGTCTGGGACAGGATGATTCTGAGCTAAACAAAGCTCCTAAGGTAATATAAGTTGTTGCCTTTAGGAGTCAGGCAGAAATTTCATTGTAAATATGCAGTTACTTATAAAGATAAGAATTTCTTATTCCACGTTCTTTATCATCGAGTTTAAATATTCATTTTGTATTTAAAGACTACCTACATATAAATACATAATTCTAAGAATGTAATTTCTCTAAACAGTGCTAGGCCAAAAGGATTCTTGGAATAGCACTCAATTATAAAGCATTATAGCATCAGTCCCTTCTGTTCAAGCCTTGTCTAGAATTTTTGATACATATTTATATTCATTGCAATTTACTTTTTAATTTGTAAAATAAACCCTTGCAAGAACAAACCCCGTATTTCAGTCTTAAGTTGGTAAAGAAAGTATTTTGAAACTCATCCTAATTTTGAAATTGTTTCTAAATCATCCACTTCAGTTATCTGAAATTTTTGAATGTCCCAAAGATCTCTCTCTCCCAAAATTATTTTGTAATCTGCCCAAATGGTTATAATATAAAATTAAAGGAGTAACCATGTTTCAAAAAGGGAATGAAGACTACCAAAGTTAACTCAGGTGAAACATTTGATTACAATTTCCTAAGGCCACAACTCGGGGAGTATGTGTGCCTGGATGTGTGAGTTTTACATATTGGAATTAAGGCAGCTTGTTCTATGTATTAATCTCTTGCTCTTAGGTGACTTGGCAAATGATTTTAAATGGTTAAATTGAAGGTTTAGGGCCAAGGGTAGTGGTTCATTAGTAGAGCAGTTGCCTAGCATATGTGATGCTCTGGGTTTGATCCCTAGCACCAAAAAGAGAGAGAGGGTGGATAAACTATAGGTTTATTTTTTTTCTGAAAATGAATGGTCAGATATAAATATATTTTTCAATATATGCAAAAAGTGCATTGTTTTCTGTGACAAGACCGCTAAGTGTCTAGAAGTCGTAACCCTCTGCACAACTTTTCTTAATTTGCTGTACAGACATATGACTGTTTATAGAAATGGGACCAGAAAGGCAGGGCACTACTACAGATGAAATCCTGATGCAGGAATTGGGGTGTCTCATCCTTCAAATGAGGTGTAGTGTGGGTACATCGCTCTATAACATGGGGCATCATCACCATCATGGATGCTTTCTTGCTGTTCCAAATCTGAGACTGAAATTCTGCTTTTTGTATTCTTTAGCAATAGGAAGGGTGAAGATTTGGTTTCATTTCTGTTCAAACTGTAAAAACTCAGTGACAAGCTGGGCGTGGTGGTGCACGCCTGTAATCCCAGCACTTGGGAGGCTGAGACAGGAGGATCACTATGAGTTTGAGACAAGCCTGGGCTACAGAGTGAGTTCCAGGTCAGTCTCAACTACATAGTGAGACCCTGTCTCAAAAAAACAGTGACAATATGTTTGTACAGTAAGGTCTTAAAAGTCAACCATGAATTGTTAAGTCTTTTGCTTCTTAAGTTTCTTATGTGAGTTAAATTTGATCTTTTTATTGTGGTGAGATTTTTCTGTTGTTTGGCAAGGTCACAAGGCATAGGACTGGTAAGGATTTTACTGTTGACTTTTAGAAAGTATAAAGTATCCTCCAAAATGTGATTAGAATGCTAGCTAGTAAGCCTGTATGTGGAGGTTTAATTGTCTACTTTAATCTGTCGACTTACTGGATTTTGACTGCCTGTTTATTCCTGGAGATGAAAATCTGTCAGTTCAAATTTGTGAGTAACATCAAGTCATTGGAATTTATCTTAAGCATCTCATGATTTAATAAGGCATCTATTGCATGCAGCTATTTTAGTCCAGTATGAAGCACTGGAATTGTAACTAGATTGTTCATTTCTGAGACATTTGGATGGAAATAAATATATGAATGTTAATCCATGTATATAAATTAGAAATACTTTTCTAGATTCTGTGGGCTTTGATTAAAACTATAGACTTTCTAGGGATTATAAAACAATAATATTACTATTAACAATAGCTAATAACATTTATTGGGCACGTACTGTGTACCAGGCACTATTCTATTTTTTTAGGTATTTTTATAACAGCTTTATTGAGGTACATTTTGCCATGAAATTTACCCTTTTAAAGTGTACAATTCAGTGGTTTTTAGTATATTCACAAAGTTGCACAACCATCACCACTATCTAATTATGGAACATGGTCATACCATGGAGAAGTCCAGTTCCATTAGCAGTCACTCCCAATTCCCCATTCCCCTCAGCCCATGGCATCCTCTCTTCTGCTTTCTCTCTCTATTGATTTGCCCAGCTCTGTTCTTTAATGTTTTGTGCATTTCCTCTACTCCTTGAAATCAAGTGCTACAGTTCTCATTTTAGAAGCAGGAAATTGAAGCACAGAAAGGTTAAGTAAATTGCCCAGGGTTACATAGAAAATTAACTTGTGATACACATGACACATTAGATGAGAATATAGTAGGACACAAATTTGAATTGCATTTGTTATATATATGAATTGAACATAGCACTTCCCCAGGATATGTTCCCTTGTTAATAGCCTTTGCACCCTAAAACTGACTGGAGGTAGACAACTTTTTTCTGAATAATACTAGGAGTACTGCAGATCAATGGCATCTAAAAAGAACACAAAAGCCATTGTACTTTGATAAGAGTTAGGTTGGCTCCCCTCACCCCTCCTTGATCCACTTTTTTCTCCCCTTCCCAGTGGCTACCACACATGAACATTCCTTTTTATTGAAATCTGAAGAATCAAACTCCCTCTTTTGTTCTAGTTCTCCAGAGGAATGGTTAATGCATCAAGGTGTAACTTGTCCATTTAAGTGTGTTTAGTGAAGGGAGGCATCTGGTCATTTACAGTGACGTGTATGTTTCTAAGCCTTCAGTGAGAATTTGTGTGAGAAGAAAGTTGGATGTTTTTCTATTGGGGTTAAAGTAAGTGATAGGAAGTAAGAGTAAAGACTTCTCCTTACTGAAATCAACGTCCTCTGGTAGGAAGTGGCCACATGCTGCTTTTGTTCACTCTTTAGCAGCCTTTGTACTCTGCAGTCATTGCTGTTAATCTCTTGGTCCTCTTCAATATTCCACTTTAATTTTGATCTTTCCTATAAATGATAGACCTGTGAAAAGAGGAAATCCGTAATTTGTGAATGTTAAATGTGCAAATAAAAAACACTAGAAAAGGAGAATTTGTGTATGCCTATCCTTGCACTGAGAATCTGCAGCATACTGATTGCAGATATACTGTCGCCAGGCAGTATGGAATGCTGTAGAACTGTATGGAGAGCAAGTTAGAAAGGGCAGTTACACTTGTTGAGCAAATAGTGTATACCAGACACTTGGCTAGTGCTTTTTAAATACTACCTCCCCTGATCACTGTAGCCTCTTTGTAACTTAACACAATTCAAAAGCCCATAAACAACTGGAAGATAAGAGTGAAGGAAGGTTTACTACTTGGAGCAAGTAAAGAGAGCACTGGGAATAATTCCCAAAGCAGTTTCCCCAAGCAAGAGTCTTTTAGTGGGGAAACATATTCCTACAGGAAATATCACATGTGGAACTGGGTACATTCTTGAGCATGCTCAGTCCCAAGTCCTGCTGCTTCAAAAAGGGGCTGGTGGATCATGCCTTCTGAGAGGAG